TTGCAGTATACAAAAATATCGATTCGTAGAATAAACGATTTAAAGCATTCATCATTTACTTTAAATGCTTCTTACAAGCAGTTTTCTAATTTACAGTTTTATGTGTGCCAAGTTCGCGATAAGTTTGATGAAGTGCGCTATGGACCATTTGGTTCCTAATCTATAGAAATTTTAAAAATGAGAGAACGGTATGTACCAAAAATGCGAAGTGGAAAAGACGTGTCTTACGAAGGACTTATAACAGAAACGCCGACTTAATTAAATTCAAGGATGTGTGGAAGTATAAAACGTGCTGGTATTTACATAACTTTCTGTCGAAAATTTTTTATTGATTTTCCAAAAATTAGATCAAACGATTGAAAAAAGTTAGATATAAAAACTCAATATGTTTGACGTCAATCATATTATAAACTGAATATCGCTTCTCTCTACAATGTATATAAAAAATATTTTGATATTGAATCGGTTGGCTAGAATTGAAATACCTAGTTACCCACATACAAGCCGGAATCACCATCGTTAGAATTACCCTTAAATTAAATGCGTGGATTTGAAAAAGCTCGCATGGTACAGAGATAATGAAGTTGGTGCTGCCGAATCTAGATTGAAAAAAACTGGAATTTCGAGCTTGAAACTGGTAATCTACTCTAGTTTTCTCTTCTAATTAGATTACACAACTATGATATACTTTTTTCAGAAACAAACGAGATAACATACGCTTACTGAGAATGTTAGAAATATCGCTAATAAACCAATGGAAAAATGAAAAAACGCTATTTACGTGCCAGATCAATTATCGAAGTTTCATTCAACGTTTATAGTATCATTGAGTATAATAATACTTAATATCATAAAACCTAAATGATAAGTAGGTGCTTCCTATTTGTTGACACAAATCGACACAAGTTGATACAAGTGTTGTTCTATCTTTGTCACTCTCTGAATGTCAAGGTTTTTGTATAAAAGATTTGATATTAACAACAGGCGTCAAGATAAATTTTATCAAATTAAAAAGTAAAATCCAAGTGGAACTATCTCTTTATCAAGTTATGTGATCACCGCATCACAGGTCACGTCATTGGCAGGCTGTGTTACCTAACCCCTAACCCTATCCAAGTAAATAATGTACTCTATTGAACAACTGATTAAGATTTATTCTTACACTTCATAATAACCACAAAAATATTTATAAAATATAGTTGAAGACATTATTTAGAATATTATATGCGTTATGATCGAGATGTCATCAGGAATTGACACCGTTGCTTTAGAGGAAAAGAGAGGAACATACACAACGATAGCTCTTTGTCGCACAGTTTCTCTGTCAATTAGTTAGCTTCATGCCAGATCGAATGCTCAGTCTAGGTATAAAAATTCTATCTATCAAATTAAAAAATAAAACACAAATGGTACTATTTCTTGTTATTTACTTAATAACTCTAATGATATAGAACACAAACGCAAATAAAAAAATGATTAAATGATGATTATAAATATAATATAACATAATCGCATAAAAAGTTAATACATCTTCAATAAATAACTCATTCTTTTTCCATCAACTTTTTCATTTATATGTTCTTGGGTATTGGTGATCGTCTTTTTCTGATGCTAACTGCACACTGGCTCATATTTATTCTTGATCAAATTCACGAGTACAATAGGAGTGTCTCGAGCCATGCTTAGCATCGAGACACTACCGTGTCTCCAGATACATCGCACTGCGAAGATAATGAAGTTCATGGTGCGGCGAATCTAGATCGGAAAGATCTCGAGTTGCAAGTTTAAAGCGACCAGGTGATTCAATCCGCGTGATCCACCGGATCCTTTTTATTCATCCCTTTATCGAGAAGAGAATTATACAGCATTGACGGCGCGACCAACGAATAGAGAGAGAGAGAGAGAGAGAGAGAGAGAGAGATTTTCGCGAGGTGCTATTACGATTGCCTGTAATTGGCAAGTCTATGTGCCACTTTTAATTGCAGCCGCGCTCAGACCGTTTCAATAGGAACGTCTCTGAACCACCTTTGGCGGTATCTCGTAATCACTATTCATTGATTCATTTGCCCATTGCGTCCCAAACCTACAGAGCGCATAAAAAATAACTTCTGATTAATTACTTCATAGATGTAAAAAGGTGAATACGCTTTCAAATTTTTTCACGATTATACGTGTATCCTAAAAAATCAATAGCTATTTAATCCATCCTCTATGTCTTATTGACTGTAATACACTTGATGTCAGTGAAACTGGATAGAAAGGTATATTTTTACATAACGGGATGCAGTAATATTTACCTTTAATACATAGTGATATAAATAGATTGTATACATTATACACAAAAAATATTTTTTTAAGTAAGAAAGACGTGAAATAGCGGGTGCATTTTCACAAGACGTCATAAACGATCGTGTTTGCATACACAACTTACTGAAAATGCTTTTCGCGCAACAATGACTTCGCGTACTCACAGCGCACGTAACGGTCGAGTTATTAAAGTTATGATAACCCATTCGTTGCGATATGCAATCCCGGCTTTCCTACGATGGATAACCATCAAATATTATATCGAAGAATATATAATGTTTAATCTTCTTGGATACTTTCCTAAACAAAACTCGCAAAAACTCAGCAGAAAAATGATGTTAATAATTTTATAAAAATTAAATACTGTCGAAAGATTATTATCGAAATTTTAACTGTATGTTATTAACATTTTTATAAAAATTATCTACAGGAAAAAATTTCATCGAAAATAGATTAATACCATCAAAAAGTAAATATTGTAAAATCTTAGTAAAATTTTTTGCACCTAGGATTACATCGGTATTATAAGATTTACAAACATCTTTAGAAAATTGATTGTACCTTTTTCTCTATAATTCTTAATTTCCGATATTAAATACTTTGATCTCAAATTAAAATTCTTATATTTCGTCATCCATGTGTTAAAAATTTCTCTCAACCTAAGACAAATTAAATTTCTTTTAAGGAATAAAACTTACGAGATTAATAAAATACATTTTCTTTATTTTCGATTCCTTTTTTATTCAGAATGAATAAAAAAGAGTCTTTCAAAAATGTTTGATTATTGATAATTCAAAAATTATAAATATTCTCGCCATGAAAGAATCGATTTTAAACTAGCCGAAGAATACGCCAATTTGCGCCGTCAATTCAGACATCCTGTATTTTTTTCACGTGGTTGTTGTGTTTGCGCCAATATACGCATTCGGTTCTGACTGCATTTTAACGAGGCCCATTGTAGATCGGCTGAATAAAGTCAGACGGCTTCGATGATCGACGATAACAGCCTCGAGATCTCCGGTTGTGTTCTTGTCACAAATCAAAGCAGGCGATGCAAGGATGTGTGAAACGCGTCACTAGTCGATTGGCATGGTCGATGGTGTGCACTGTCGATTGAATAAAATATCGCGGTGGAAGATCGAGTAAGATCAACTCTATTAGCGGAGATCTCTGAGAACCGACTAGGTCTAGCTGAGAAAGGAATCGTATCTCATGAAGAATTACGACTGTCAAAGGCTGCAAAAGAGCAAAACGTGACTAAAGGTTCCATCGCAATCTCGCAAACGTTGATCTACCTTTCTTTACTCACTCCAATCTCTCTCCAGATTTATTATATTTTAAATTATATAAATTTGCCGTGTGAGAGAGTTATAAAGAATTAACACACCATTGAAATTATACGTATTTATGACAACTTTTTTTATATCAGTGGATTAAAATAGAAATATATAAATATACTGTGATAACTTCGTAAACTGTAAATTATAAACATACAGCTGTAAGTTTGTAAATCCATGACTCTGCGACTTGATTTCAAGAACGAGACAAATGACATGGGTATCAGATAACATGGAATAGGCGTGGTCCAGATAGATGATCCAGTTTATCTATTAAATCGTCTGGTTGAAAAGATGTTAATGCCATCCATCATAGCATTATACTTAAATTAATGTATCAGATATATCCTTACTGATATAACGAGATATGAAATAACTGATTATTATAAATAGAGTCTCATTTTTCTATCTTGTATCACTTTAATGTCATCTTAATTTCTTATTAGAAAAATTCTTTATTATTAAAATCGAATTTAATTTTTCAGAATTCTTTATTATTAAAGTCGACAATTTCTTTATTTTGAATTTTATTTGTCTATTTCATATATTAAAAAATGAGATACTTCATGTGATAATATTTCGGATAGAAAAATATGGGTGTATTATAAATAATATGTTTTCCAGAAGAGTCACTTATCGTTTAATTTTATCAGAAAAGGTAATAAGAAGTTTTTTGTATGATTAACAAAAGATTTATTATAAAAATAAAGATAAAAATTATACAGATATATTTACGTAAGATAGAAAAGGCTTGAATCTAATGTGTAATATGCTTATTTAAATTTATTCTTACTATTAAATTTATTCTTATTATTAAATTTATTCTTCATAAATTGTCTCTTTTTTTTACAGAAACGGTGTAGAAACTTTAAATTTTAAGATGATTATGAAGTTAGAAATGCCAAGCAAAATTTTTGCTCTCGAACGCTAACGCTAATGTAATAAAATCTGAACGGCTGTCCTATTAGAAATGAAATCTCTCTTTTATTGTCCGAAGGAAATTGTGTGACGTTAGGAAAAACTAAGGAGATGGTGAAAATATCAATTTTCCAAAAAATGAAATCTATATGAATTTAATTACGTGTAATTGTGCACGTATAATATTGAGTCTGAGAATAATAAACGAACAATTTGATATCGTAGAGGCTCTTGAAGAGAAATCAATATTATAAGGTCATTTATGCAAGCGCCAGTTATTAATGCATTTTTATTCACAAGATTTTTATTCAGCTCTTTTATATGCTATTCGCAAAAGATTGTTGAAAAATTATATTTGATTATCAAAAATTTATTTAATTTTGTTTTTTGAGGCACCGTATACAGTTTCTTTGACGAATCATTGGTGCTGTCTTGTAGGAATGTCAACCAGAATTTCTGCGTGATCTCGTTCTGAAAATGAAGGCCGACATATTCACCCCTGGCGATTTCATATGTCGGAAAGGCGAAGTTGCCCGTGAGATGTTCATAATAGCTGACGGTATACTGGATGTGGTCGACGAAAACGGTAGAATACTCACAACACTCGAGGCCGGAGACTTTTTCGGCGAGATTGGTATGCTCAATCTGGACGGATTAAATAAGTAAGTAAAATTGTTCTGATTCTTTTTCTGTCCGGTATGATAGCGTTAGGCTTTATAATAGATCCACTTCTTATCTCGCGAAGTTGAACTAGACAATTACACGAACTGCAAAAGAAATTCGTTTTTTCACATATAAATGATTATAAAAAAAGATTGATGTTTTTTAAAGATGCAAGAAATGTTTTTAAAGAATTACCTTTTTATAAACAATTTTAATCGCAATCATAAAATTTTCTTAATTTCGCACACTTTATGAAAGCTAAACTCTTAAAGCTGAAAATTCGAAAAAACTTTCAGACGTACAGCCGATGTTCGTTCGGTGGGTTACTCCGAACTGTTTCGTCTATCGCGGGAGGACGTGCTGGCGGCGATGTCGGACTACCCGGAGGCGGAAGAAATCCTGCTAGATATGGGTCGAAAGAGGCTGATAGAAGCGCAGAGAATGGTAGCGGAAACATCCGAGTGCATACCTCTATCCCCCGGTCATGATTCGTCCGACAACAGCACCAGTAAGAAGATCGTCGATAAGCTGAAGAGTGACGTGAAGGGCCTGAAGAATGTTCTGCGGAAGAGTAGGCGCAACACTCTGTCGGAAGAGGACCTGGAGCTCCAGCCATTAGCGCCGAAGATGCCGATGTTGAGACGGCAGCAGAAGATGGACCTGTGTGTACCTATAAATACTCAGGAGCAGCCGGCGTCACCGCTGGGCGCCGGTTTTCCGCTGCTGTCCGAGCTCAGGTTGTTGAAGGAAGAGGAGGAGAGGGAGGAACGGTGTAATTTGATGGACACATCGAGCCACACGGTAGAACTACACATACCACCAGTCTCGGAGGCCTTGAACCCCACCACTCCTAACCTGACTTTACAGAAAATATTTCCGCAAAAAAACGAGCTAGAGATCATTCAAATAGAGAGAGAAATGTCCACCAAGGAGTCCCTGCTGCCTAGAAACATTCCCGAGAAGACGAGCACGCAATTGGACAAGAAGTCGTTCTCGAATGGTCAGAGTGTCGCTATAATCACTGTGACGCAGGTTGAGACACGCACGGTCAAGCCATCTTGGACCATGATGAAAAATGCATTGACTCCCAAGGATAATTCGTCGCAGAGAAGTTCACCAGCCAAAAAATTGCAGCAAACCAAAATGTATGCTTCACTTGACGATCTCTCGCCAGAGTACTGCGGTCTGCCATTCGTTAAGCAGCTTAAAATCCTCAACGAAAGGCAGAAGCTGGCCGAACTGGAGACAGCGGTTAGAAGCTCATCCCTCGATTGCGGCGAAAACGTCGAGCCGGAGTTTGACAGCAACCTCACGAGAAGCCACTCAGAGGCCTGTGCCATCGAGTACGTCAGGAAGTTGGCTAAATATAATCAAGTAAGTAGATAATTATATTATTCTTAATACATAATGAATTTTTTATAAAGTATACATTATTTTTAGGATTGCTATATAATGATTAGTGATGACGACACCGACTGACGCCGACGACACTAACCGACGACGACAACGCTAACCGACGACGATGCCGATTGACGCCGACCGACTTCGACGACGCCAATTGATGCCGACGACGTTGACCGACGACAACGATGTGGACCGATTACGACGACGACGACGCCGACAGACGACACCGACTGACGATGACAACGCCGACTAACGCCGACTGACTTTGATGACGCCGACCCTAATAGCACACTTTATTTGAGGAACGTTCTGCCGAATGTTCTTAGGATATAGTGATATCCTCTGAATGTTCTTTGGAACGTCCCTTGGAGATCTGTGTTATTAGGGAACCTACACAGCACTGAATGTCACTAGAATGTGGCAAGAACATTACATTTGAAATCTGAAATATTCTGATGATGATCTCAAAAACATTCTAGCAATGATAGTAGAAAGTCTTACGTCCGCACCTGGCAATATTCTGTAGATGTTCTGTAATATATAATACACAGCACGGAGAATGTCACCAGAATGTCAACAGAATGTCGTCAGAATATTTCAAATGTTTTTTTTACAGTATATTTCATTTGAAATATTTCATTGTATATATACGAGGGTCGTCTGAAAAGTTTTGAGCCTAACATAGAAACAAGTAATTTTTTGATCAAATTCAATTTTATTTTTCCACATAGTCTCCTTTTAAATCGATACATTTTTTCCAGCGATGCTCCCACCCCTTTAATCCATTCAAATAATAATGAGCGTCTTGCTTTGCAAAATAGGCATCTACGGATGCGATGACCTCGTTCGATGAAAATTTCTGTCCTCCGAGCCAAACTATGAGCCTAGGAAACAGAAAAAAGTCGCTGGGGGCCAGATCTGGTGCATACGGTGGATGCCCAAGAAGCACAAAGTTATGAGAAAGTTTTTATAACTTCATAAAACGTTTGTACCATTTACATATCGAAAAATTATACGACTAAAAAGTTAATGTCGGTTATATAACTATTTGTAGTTTTTAAAACGTCTATATAAACACATAACATTTAGTCAATATATGTATATTCATTAGAAATTTGTATAACGTCTATACGACTCTACACAAAATAATCATTATGTAGTATTCATTTTAAGATTTTGTAACGTCTATACGACTTCCTAAGGAGCACAAAGTTATGAGAAAGTTTATATAACTTTATAAAACGTTTGTACCATTTACATATCAAAAAATTATACGACTAAAAAGTTAATGTCGGTTATATAACTATTTGTAGTTTTTAAAACGTCTATATAAACACATAACATTTAGTCAATATATGTATATATTCATTAGAAATTTATATAACGTCCATACGACTCTACACAAAGTAATCGTTATGTAGTATTCATTTTAAGATTTTGTAACGTCTATATGACTTATTATATGTTAACAATCTTATAATACTCATTACAAGTTTTTAAAACGCTTATGTAACTCCGTATATTTCAATTCAACTTTTGAGTCATAATATCAGGTTTTTAGGACATTTATACAACTGCAAAGACAAACGTTGTTGCGTTGAAATAATGTGTATATTTATAAAACGGTACGTACATTATAACTTTATGTACGTTATGTATATAACTTCATAAAGTAAAGTCGCAGGTTATGATTATCATAATTAATCTGTCTTATTATCATAACTAATCTGTGTATATACGTTCATTAATTTTAATAGAGTCAAATCTAAATAAATAAAATGGAAAGAAAAAAAGTGTTTAAGCATAGTAGTAGCTATTACAGGAGAGTAAAATATTATTTAAAGCAACAGCAGACAACTGCAGCTACAAAGAAAAGCAGAACGTGCGAAAATAATGTAGAAACTGCATATCTTAAATCAAAGACACAATTAAATTATGGCGATCACAGTCCACTATCTCCGTTATCATCAACACTAAATTCATCTTTTAAAAGTGATCAATGTGAAAGCTATGTTCTTGAATCCATATCTGACCAAGATGAAAGTGAAGATGATTTGAAAAATCTTATTAACGACGAAGAGCTTTTTCATGAAAAATATATATGGCTCTTTAGAATGATCCACACACACACACGCACGCACGCACGCACGCAAAATATTTAAAAAATATTTTTAAAAAATGTATTTAATGTAAAAATATTGAATAAATGTTTAAAAAATGTTGTTTTAATATTATATGCTGATTAGAGATGTATATATTATTATTAATATATATATATTAGAGAAAATTTATATATATGTATATTATATATATAAATTTTCACTTTTCACGTTTCCGCACAAGAGAAAAAATTATATGCTCGGTACCAAGGAGTCGAATAACAGTTGAATTCCAAACTGTCGAGACAAGCGTGCGATTATAGCTCAAGCGTAGCGTGTTAGATTCCCGTCCCATAGGTCTTAGGTTCAAACTCCGTCGAAACCACATGCGTTTTCATAAATATGTACTTGCGTATAAATATTCGGGGCATCTTAAACGTAATGAATATCAAAAATATAACAATAAAAAAATGTTTAATTTTGATCATTTTAATAATTTTGATAATTATTGAAGAAAGTTGTATTAACGTTTGTACGTGGTATTTAAGACAATCATTGAGACGTTATTTTATATCTATTAACGGTTTGTTGTAAAACAGTAGTATATTACAAGTTTTAATGTGGTTAATATAACGTCAGAAATTAGTCGTATAGATTCCCCACTTTGTTGACATAAACGTTTCAACGACGTTATTGCCTGCACTGTTTAGTTGCATAACAGTTGTAAGAAAAGTTACAAAGTTTTATAGAAAGTCGTATAAACATTTCTATAACTGTTATCCATATAGATTGTGCTCCTTGGGTGGTCAATTAATTCGAACCGCAATTCGTGAATTTTTATCATGGCGACTGCTGATATTCGATTTTTTCCATTTTTACAAAAACATTAACATTGACTGGCACAAATGACTGTCAAAGAACAACTTAGCGCCGGAAGTAGCTACAATTTTCGTAGGTATCTTTCAAAGTATGTACGATTATAGTACCAAAATTGTTTTGACGAGTAATGCCATCTTCATGTTGAGGCTCAAAACTTTTCAGACGACCTATGTATATAAATTTTAATTTCCTAAAAACTTACTGGTGATGCGACATCACCTTCTCTGAGGATTTCAGTTTTGCGGTCATCCATTGGCGAGTTTAGTTTTAATCTACTCCGTTTTTGGAGAGAGAGAGGATGTAACTTATCGTCCCTTCCAAACGATCTAATTGTGATTCACGTTGTAAGTTTTTTTATTTCTCTTTCTTTTCAATTGTCGGTTTCTCTTTTATTAGTTGAACATGTGTTCTTTTGTCTCGACAATACTTGTTTAAGTTTTATGATTGACGATCTAGGAAAGAAACAAAAAATTAGAAACTACGCTTTGTCATCCCGCATTTTATTTTATTAATTTCCTGTTAGCGATTTAAGATTTGAATGAAGCAAGAGAATAAATACACTCTATCCAAGATCTTCACATCCCCCCAATTAAAAATTAACTAAGTTAAGTCATTAACTTTTAATTTTTTTGGAATGTTTTAACTACAGTTATTATTCAACCCTGCCATTTTGTAATAGGATCGACAAGCGGCGGCACCAGAACTATCGTCGGAAAATGAAACTTTGGAAAGGCAAAATTTGAAGAGTATTTTAAAGCAACTGTCAGCCAGTAAGGCTGGCAGTTCTAAAACTTCGGCATCTTATCATGAAGCTGAATTGATGAGAAAGCCGACAGTTGAAGGTTATGTCGCAAGGCATTCAAAACTATTCAAAAGTGTAACTTTTAATAAATACACACTTCAGAGTCCACCATCTGAGCTGCCGCCACATGGTAAATTATGTTTCCGTCCTATCTTGCAAACGACGTCCCGGCCGCGCGAGGAGGAATGTCCAAATGAATTGCTCTCGGGTTTCGGGGATGTCATCAAGACAACCTTGGTGAGTGAGAAGCACGATTGCCTTGTAAAGAAAACCGTATTCCATTAAATCCATCACCATTTTAAGCATGTTTCCCAAAATCCCGAACTTGGTATTTCTCATCACTAGATGTACGTCCATCAATCCCATCAATTATCCAACTCCACTTGCAGAAGTTTCCTATTACCGTGTGACATACGGCCGCTGTCTCGATTAATCATATCATCGCTTTTGATGTTGCAGGAGGACGTACAAAATAAATTCCAACAAAAGTTTATGTCGCTCGAATTGGAGATTCGTAAACGAGATGAAATTATATTGCAATTGCGATTCCGAATTCACGAATTGGAACAAGGAAAAATGAATAGCACCGAACAGGACGTGGATGATCTCGATGAAGATCATCCCTTTGTGCGACATAATTCGACAGATACGGTTATTAATTCTATACCGTCCCAAGATCAACACTCGTCTTCATTGGTCGTCTCAAGCTCCCGCGGCAAGCAATCGTGGGAAGAACATACAGAAAAAGAAACCTTAGAACTAAAGGAATTACCCAGCTCCATAATTCCCCAAAGATTATCGCGGGAGGATGTGACAATCGATATTGACTCACACAGCAACAATAGATTGAATAAAGAATTTTATGTCTGTAGTTGTCACAAGGGCGACAGCCATGAGAACAATGAGAAAGATAAAAAAGAGAAGGAGGAGGAGGAAGAGGAGGAGGAGGAGGAGGAGGAGGAGGAGGAGGAGGAGGAGGAGGATGAGGAGGAGGAAGAAGAGGAGGGGGAGAGAGAGGATGAGGATGTAGATGAGGAGGAGGATGATGATGAGGAGGAAGATAAAATTGCTAGGCAGGGTGACTTCAATAACTGGGAAGTCACTCTGCTGGCAAAACAGCTAGAGGAGAAGAGAAGAAGTGGCGATAATGCTAACTTTGATTAATGAGATTCATTAATGAGATTTGCTATCATTTTCATTAATGAGATTCTAGAAGGGGTAGACCTCAGGGGTAGACCTTAAACGATTCGGTGTCAACCCCCCAAGTTTGGGTGTGGCTCAATTTTTGGTGTTGCGTTCCAAATGATTCGGTGTCAATTTCTAAATTTGGGAGTTAACTCTCAATCAATTTTCGATGTTGAGCTCTAAGATGACATTCAGTGTCAACTCCTAAGCTTAGATGTAACTCTCAATGTTTTGTGTCAAGTCTCAAATGATTCGGTATCAACCCTCCAAGTTTGGGTGTGGCTCAATTTTTGGTATTGCGTTCCAAATGATTCGGTGTCAATTTCTAAATTTGGGAGTTGATTCTCAATCAATTTTTGATGTGCTATAAGATGATTCGGTGTCAACTCTCAAGCTTGGATGTAACTCTCAATGTTTTGTGTCAAGTCTCAAATGATTCGGTATCAACCCTCCAAGTTTGGGTGTGGCTCAATTTTTGGTATTGCGTTCCAAATGATTCGGTGTCAATTTTTAAATTTGGGAGTTAACTCTCAATCAATTTTTGATGTTGAGCTCTAAGATTATTCGATGTTAACTCCCAAGCTTGGATGTAACTCTCAATGTTTTGTGTCAAGTCTCAAATGATTCGGTGTCAACCCCCCAAGTTTGGGTGTGGCTCAAATTTTGGTGTTGCGTTCCAAATGATTCGGTGTCAATTTCTAAATTTGGGAGTTGATTCTCAATCAATTTTTGATGTTAAACTCTAAGATGATTCGGTGTCAACTCCCAAGCTTGGATGTAACTCTCAATGTTTTGTATCAAGTCTCAAATGAATCGGTGTCAACCCCCCAAGTTTGGGTGTGACTCAATTTTTGATGTTGCGTTCCAAATGATTCGGTGTCGACCCCCCCAGTTTGGGTGTGGCTCAATTTTTGGTGTTGCGTTCCAAATGATTCGGTGTCAATTTCTAAATTTGGGAGTTGACTCTCAATCAATTTTTGATGTCAAGCTCTAAGATGATTCGGTGTCAACTCCCAAGCTTGGATGTAACTCTCAATGTTTTGCGTCGAATTCGGATGTGACTCTCAATTCAACTTATGTAAAAATAAAAAAATAAAAATAAATCAATTATGTAAAAATTGTTTGTATTAAAAATATATTGTAAATTAATATATATGTAATTAATATATGTAACTGTACGTAAAAATGTTTTATAAATATATTAAATTAATACAAATATTCCACATATAGAGTTTCAAAAAATTCATTCAAGAAATGCATCATTTTGATCCCGCAAAATAATAACCGTCAATATATAATATATTGATTATTTATTATGTCCCTCATATATTGAATATATAAAGGATATATGTTTTTTATTATTGCAATGAATATGATTGAGAGAAAGGAAAAGAAGAGTAAATATGGTTTATATTTCATTATTTATTTTTATTTGGAAGAAGACACTGAAGACATTTTCACAAAATTCCTAAAAACCATTATTTTTCTTAACATATAATAGTATCCAGAACTCTTAATTTTACATTTTAATCAATCTTCAACGTATTAACTAGAGGTATTATACAATATTTATGACTATAGGAATAATAATACATATTAATACAATTACATAGTATACCATACTTGCATATACAGGGTGTTTCCAAATTAAATGGCAAAACTTCGGGAGCGTGTAGAGGAGTAAAAAACTAAGAAAAAAAGTCCTATAGACATATGCTCGTTTTTGCTCCGTTTCAGAGAAATCGAAAAAAAATGTTTACATTTCTTGCCATATCTAGCACCGACATATTTGATTACATTTTCCACTTTCTGTTATGAATTTGTCAGTCGCTCTTTGAAAGCCTTTAACAGTAGATGAATTTTGTCTTTTGCAATATGCCGCGTACGTATTCTAATAGTGAATATGCTGATATGGTTTTTGTATACGGTTTCTGCAACGGTAATGCTTTAAAGGCGGTGCGAGAATATGCACGACGATTTCCAAACAGAAGAGTGCCAAACCGAAGAGTGTTTATGTTGACATTTAATAGATTGCGAGAGACTGGATCATTTTCAATTCGACAAGAAAACAACCGATTTCAAGCAGCGTTACGAAGAGATTTGCAGGCAGGGAATCGTATTTTACAACATTTTGACAATCATCCTGAGA